TTTTACTTTTTTTTTGCGTATAGAGGGTAGCCGAGAGGGAAAAAATTTCTGCAGATTTGAACAGCTTCTAGTGTTGAAAAAAATGTATAATAGACTTTTAATGGGAGAAAATCATTCGCACGAAGCAAGATTTTTCCCGCCAAAAGACTTGTATATATTTTTGGATCAACATTAGACATTATTCAAAAGCGCAGGCTTTTTTTCCCATGATCAAATTTTTACCGCCAAAAAAGATTGAGCTTCATAGTTTTTCCAAAAAAAATCTTATCTCTTTTAAAGACCCAATAACTTTTAAAATTGCGATAGGCCCCTTTAAAAGCGCAAACTTTAATTTTTAATCAAGTTTTTGATGAACTTTATTCAGTCAATAGAGTTCTTAAATCGACTGGTAACTCCTTCTATGAACTTCAAGCATTATCTTCCAAACCTAAAAGAAAACAAACAACTCGATCAATTTTTTGCGAATCTTCTACACGCTGACATTCCCATATGAAGTGTTTATCATTTGCTCCTCGCATAGTTGATACAAGTAAACTCAAGTTGTAAGCACGGGAAGAATTTCAAAGTTATCAGTTTCCCTTGATGGATAAAATATTTCTACGATAATCCTGTGGCGTAAATTCAAGAATATATAGTGGTACAGGCATTGAAAGTAACTCATGTGTTCTGTATTTAACCGTCCTTCATCCTTATCATTACCGCGATAAAACAGTTATTAATTTAGGTCAAATATCAATACAATAATTTCAATGCTATTGTGGTAAATTTGGATATGGCATTAATAAAGGCTATGAACAACTTGTGTCCAGAAATGCACGCAGTAACGAAAAAATGGAAGATTTAACGAAATTACAGCCTAGGCGAAATTTCGTCAGAATCGTCACTTTTGACAAATTCGTCGCTTTCGCCAAACTCGTCAACTTTTTGAGCCCCTTTTAGCCAAGTCATGTATTCACTCGTTCATAATTTCGTCGAAATTTCCAGATTGACAAATTTCGCCAAACCTGTCAAAATCGTTCACAAAATGTGGTTAAATCTGCCATTCTCTTTTCTACATGCATTTCTGGACACATCTACGATGAACGGAAAAAATGTAACCTGATATCACACACTTGCTCCTATAATCCTTAAAAGACAGAAATTTGATTCCTCATCCTTGCATGATTCTTTTCAATTAAGAAAAAATCTTCTCAGCTGAACATTTCTTAAAATGTTTCTCAGACGTATCATGCGCTGTATTCGATGAAATGTCAAAGCCGAAAAGGCGTAAAGCATTACAAGCCAGTCATATGGTTGGACGGGTTTTCGTTGAAACAAATGACGGATTGGGGTTAATTTGCTCGTCGAAAAACTGGCCTCCTAAATGTAGTAATTTAGTGTTATTAACCGAGTTGAAAACGTAAATTGGTCGCTGTAAAGAGTTTAAAGGCTGACGTTTCGAGCGTTAGCCCTTCGTCAGAACGATTGTGGAACAAAAGTTAATCCTTTGACCCCCTAGGATAGACCAGCATGTAATTTCTCCATACGATATCACCCCTGGATCACACATTTAAGTCACGAGAATAAAAGAAATGATCACCGACTAAAGAAGCTTTTGATTGTGAGACAAATTCTTCCTGTCGGCAACCTTAGAAAATGGTTGAGAACAGAAAGGAGAATATGCATACTGATGTAGGGTGTAAGGAGTGAACTCAGTTGAGAGTCGAAAGTGCAAGATTTCAATGTAACCCCATACTTCATTATACATGCAGTCCTTTGAACAATATAACAATTGTCTTCGAATAACATTGGATAATACGGAAATCTTTCCATCCAAAGTAATCTGGGATCTTAATTTTCTTGGTTTCACTTTACTTCGTTCTGAAGTTGGTCTGAAAAATCTCTAACATCCTCTCAAACTACAACTTCTTGCGACTTAGTCACTCGCATTTACCTGCGCCTCAGAAAGTTTCCTCGTTTTACTTTTATTTTTCATCACTCCTTTTCATTTGTTCCTTCTCTCGGTTTGGCCATCGTGATAACGGCAGGATTTCCACACAGCCGCGTACTTCATTATGCATACAAATCTCGGATAAAAAAAAACTATGGCGGAAACAAAAGATTGCCCTTGGGACTACGGGTTTTTTTTTTACTATAGTATGGGGTAATACGGAAATCCTTCTGTGATTAATTTGGTTCTGATTTTACGTCACTCGATCGAAATGCACTCTATCAACTCGAATCAACATAGTCTGACCTGTATCTCAAACCTGTGTCTGTCTCCATGACGTTAATCTTGTTATGACTTATTGCATTCCCCTTCAAGTCGTCCACTCTTTCCTGATGGCTGTTGAAGAAACAATTCCAGTGGCGATGAACAACTAAAATTAAGGCAGAATGAATGTTATTGTTTTATTGAGGGGGAAGTCGTAAAAGGAGGAATCCTGTGATAAAATTGACTCGGGAATCGAACGAAAACCTTAAGATTTATCTCAATTGTGTTTCGTGAGGCAAGCTTTAAGATCACTTTCCTCTTCGTGCAACGAGGTCTAACTTAAGCCGCGATTGAGACAATCATTGGACCTCGATAATTATTCATGAAAGGGTTGTTCGAAGGAAGAGGAAGTTTCTCCAGAGTTAGCTGGAATTCTTCTTTACACTGTTCATGATAAATGTTGGTGTAAACAAATAAAAGGTTGTTTACAACGCAGGTAAACAAGATATCCGCACGAACTTAAACACCATTCGGCATACAGTTATTTCATAAAGAAACCAACAGATGGCGAAAACAATAGCTTACCTTTGGAACGAATGCTTTGTTGTAGAATGGTATGGGAAATTGGGGTATATAGAAATATTTCCCACAGGTTCGCTAAACAAAGGCTAAATTTTGTTGTATATACTTCAGCTTGTTAGACGACAATAATTCACCATAACATTTTTACGAGTTACCTTACCACCCCTGGAAAAAGTGTCCTACAAATGTCGTCAAGCTGTTGATAATTTGATTATGCCTGCTTTTTCAAAAGTCCCACAATTTCTCTTGTCCTCGATGATTACTTCAAAGACGATAGATTTACATATGTAAGTTCTCTCCCCACTAGGCGAGAGGCAAAACCGTCATGCCAGATTAAAGGCAAATACTCAGTCGCTGCATAGAGCGGATGTTAAGAAAAGATATGGTCGTCGTTCCATACTTAACATTAACGCCGAATTTGTCTCAAAGCTCACAGAAGTGTCAGCAGCTTATAGTTATGTGCTAGATAAGGAAAGTTCACGACTTACATGAATTCCGAGAAGACTAATACTCCGCTTCTTTATGGCTTGTTTGAATTGAGCCGGCCACGTGCAAGGATTTTTAAAAAAACACCAGTGTTAAAGATCAACAAACAATTTAACTGCAACAGTCAAACGCTAGGACTGTCTATGACATCTTGAGTTATCATTTGTCTACAAAAAAACTGTAGCTAGAAGCCAATAGCTAAAAACCAAACAGACAAGCGAAGTTCTGAGCTGCAAGTGTCAAGTTCTGAGTAAAATTCACGTGAGATGAATACCAACTGAGGGTTAACATATTTGCAATGTAGATCAAACATTTAGTGGGCTTCAGATTGAGTCAAAATGATGAGGAGGGGGCGGAAAAGGTGTGATTTCTGATGGTGTTACTTTCTGCTGAGAATTCGATGTCACCTGGAGGCGAACTCTTTAAATGGAACACTAATTCGTATGTTTCAGGTCTACTTTGTGTCACAGCCATGATCCTCTTTCACTTGCCATTTAGTTCAAGTAAGTAGCTTACATTTCGACGTGACTTCCGAAGCAGTTATTTTAGCGTAGATAAAAAGGGAAAATCAAAAGAATCCGTACTCCAACACAGTACACAGGTTTTATCTTCAGTCTCTCCAAAGTACCCTTCTCCGTTTAATTGCAACAACTCTCTGTCTATAATTGACAGAAGACTGATAACCGTTAACGACATCCTCTCATTTGAGTACATATTTTCATGCGTCTTTGAAATGCAGCTTCGGTCGATAAACTGAGTGAGAAATACGAACCACCATTCATCAGCAAGTGATTTGTACGCTGCGAAGATCTTGACTTTTTTTACCATCAAAATACACTCCTAATTTGCGAGGTAAATTGCTGGTACTACTGCAGGGGTTTAATTTGTACTTTAACTTTCCTTTAGTAAGAGTAATTTTAAAGTCAATATTGAAAGAGAAATGGAGTGGAGTTGCTCAACTTCGCTCTCTGATTGGTCTAGAAAACCCGATCCAAGCTCTCAATCCATCAGATGCAATATTGAAGTCAATTGCGGCTTGGTCACCCGCATTCTCATCGAGCTAATTTTGAGATTTTATTTCCGAGATAACACTGAAGCCGTTCGTTTAGTTCGCTCGTAGTGTCTCTCCTGCTCCCCAACACAAGTGAATGTGCTACGTGGAAATTCCATATACAAGTAAAATGTGGCATGAAAAGGACGCGAAACGCATTCGAAAGGCATTTGAAAACTCACACAAGAGCATTAACACCTCGACAGCGATCCGTGGCTGCATAAGAACGACCCGAATTTAAACTCAGGCCCTTGACAAGACGTTGATTACTTAAAATAATGTCAAAGGAGGCAGGGTAACAAGTAACAAGAGAATGTCTCCACAGTCTCCTCGCACTTCAGGACACTTACGTCCAATGGGTTAATGATAAGTACGCTTCCAATCCTCGGTATCGAAACTTCCCTCTATATTCCTTCTCTGCAATGTTGTTAAGAGTCTCGACAACGCTAAGAAAAGCATAAGATTAAAAAAGGGTTTGCAACCTAACTTTGTTTTTTTATTCCAGCCGTAAAGAGGCATTTGCTGTATTTGTTCCGAAGCACAATTTTGAGTCCCTGCACAGAAGCAAACAAAATCCAACATATTGTACTGAAGTAATATTTATTATAAAATCTCACAACTCCAACATTTATATAAATCAGTACAAGTGAAATGAACTCTAGTAGCGAAGTCTCTGAAAGCTAACTATTATGCAGCCTAGTTAAGGTAATTTAAACAGTAAATGAATTACAAAGATCTAATATCAAGTGTCAAGATCTAATGTCAAGTGATAGTCACAAAAATAACAGTATCAGACAATATGTTATCCAGCTTTTAACACTTGAGGGTTAATAAGCAGATTAATGATTTTAGGGTCGATGTAGTTTCTCATTGCGTATACTCAACAATTTAATAACATAACAGTGGCAGCTATACACAAATCTCGAGCAGTAGCAGGTGATAATACTAAACAATATGAACATGTATGTATGTGTAATAACTGCTTTGTACGGGTGTATTAACACCCTACCATAGCACAAATGAATTAAACATTTCTTTTAACACTTAAAGCTTAACAATTACAATAGATTTGGACATAACCAGAGGGCTAACTTTAAATTCTTTTACAGTGAAACTTAAAAAAGCTAGCAATGTAATTGTAAGTGCACTTTTGGGTTTCACATCTACAAAATGATGGCACAGCCACCATACTCTCAAACCAGGTGCAGACTTTTCCCCAATCAACTAAGCAATATAGACACCTGTATTAAAGCATGTGGGCGTTCATATTACAAAGCTCAACTATATTCAGACTATATTCAGAAGTACCAACACCTAACACACAGTGTTGCTAAACCACTTGGGATAAAAACAAAGCTAAACTACTAAAGGCTTTCTTCTTTTCTGGCTTTCCAGTAAAGTTCAATACTACATGAAGGAAAGGGAAGGCTGATGTTTTGGTACCACAATACCAACTAGGAGAACTTTACAGTTAACTACAAGAGAGGTAGCAAAATTTCACCAAATAACCTTGAATTGTGCTTCCTCATGGAGTTCTTTATGATACTTAAATCAGAAGAACAACAGGACCCAGTTATTCAAAGGGCTGATAATGCTATTCAATGAATAAATTTTTATCCTGCAGACATCAGACATAAGAGCTAAAGAACTGTACTGTGCTACCCACTGGATAGAGATTTATTCACTGGGTAGTGTTATCCACACTTCCAACAACCAGCACTGAATCCTGAAGTCTCATGCCACATCTTTACATATACACATCCATTCCTGCATCCAAGAGTTATGTACATGTATATCACCAATAATCTTTTGGCCAGTGCTGGGCTGTAGAATCAATCCTTGTTCTATTTATATGGCATCACCAAATGAACATTTCTGATCTTCTTTGAAGCAATTCAGACTATATTTACAAAATCAATATCTTTAACCCTCTACAAAGAAAAAGAGAAACAAAAACAATTAAACTGTTTTGCAATTTTTAAATAATGATGATGATGATGAAAAATAAGATAGTACATTCCTAACAAAAAAACAAAACCAAAAAAAAAAAAATAGAAGAACTTCTCACCAATTTTACACTTTTATAAGTTCAACTTGGTGTTCAAGACCTTGCCTTTCCTCAATCTCTTTTTGCACAACTGGGTCTGGTTTCAGGCAGATGTAAAGTCTCTGTAAAATGGAAAAACACATATCCAAAGGTTAAAAATCTCCCTCCATGTCAAGATATTTGGCACATGTTTTTTTTAACATGAGAACAAAGAAAAATTTCAAGAAAAGACTAATGGTAAATGATTTCAAATGTCCAAATGGCAACTTTAAAATCAGATTTCCCTTGGAACTGTGAAGTTCTACTCACCTCCATAAATGTGCCAGGTGTCATGTACAAGTTGTAGATTGCCACTCCAGGAATGAAGAGCATTGAAGACAAGGCAATAAGCCATCCAATAAATTCAGCCCACGGTGGATACTTATAGTCACCATAAGAGATACCACCCCATTGCGATACACTGAACAAGAAGATTCCTGCCATGATGAGAGGTGCACAGAACCTCCAGCAAAACCACCACCAAGCTCCTGGACGACGACCTATCATTTTCTCAATGTCAAGAGAAAACCTGTCAGTGCCATAAATCCAGGCCAGGGTTACAGTTTCAAAGAAAGCCAGGAACAGAAGAGAAACACCTCCTGACTGGTAGTCAAATAGGTTCAGCACGTATGCTCCTCCCTGTGTGACACATGGTAAGCCCAGGAGGAAGCACAAAATACAAGCCACCAGGATGAAGAGTTCTTTGTGTCTTCTGAAGATGCGGTACTCATCCACAACTCCCGTAATTACTGCTTCCATCATACCAAACTAACAGAAAAAAGAGCGCCTTAAGTTCAAATAGTGCAAAACTTTGCAACAAAGAAGGGGAAGGACTTCAGAAACAAATTAAGTGCAAAAACTCTAATAGACAGCAACCAATATCAAGAGCTTCATAGCTCAGCTGGGTGGAGCTTAACAGCAGGACTACATAGGACAAGCTCAGAAACTTCTCAAGTCCTTAATTATTATAATCTTCTTTAACAAAAGAGATACTTGGGTAAGTTAATTCTACTTTTCAACAGCATTACCACAGTGTAAAAACTTAAAATTTTGTATATATTTTGTTCTTTCCTCTTCATACCTGTATTTCCTTCTATAAGCTCAAAACAGATTTTAAGCATGAGAAAAAGAAATTTTGATTTGCTGAAAGTGATTCTACCTGACTGTCCAGGCCCAAAGTAAGCAGCATGAAAAAGAACAGAATGGCCCAAAGAGGTGAAATTGGCATCTGAGCAATGGCTTCTGGATAAACCACAAAGGCCAGGCCGGGACCTTAAACAAAGAAAGTACAGCATATACATTTAGCTTCTTTTGCTTGATGGAGAATTAAGGAATCATGGAAAAGAATTAAAAATCTCTAATACCCTTAGAATTTTTTTCCAAACTGCAATCTAAAGCTCCACTTTAGGAGTGGAGGAGTGGGAAACTCATACCTACCAAAAAAATTTGGAAACTGTCAGACATTTTTCATTATGTGATCTTGCAATATTTGTACACAAAATTTTGAATACAAATTGCTTCCTACAAGACAGTTTACATAGTAACCACCACTAGCAATTTCAGAAAAGTTAAGAGACCTGCCTTGCAAAAGACTGTCACTACTGTATACTGCTGAATAGTTTAGTTTTTCAGATAACATTAAATTTCATGCACAGAGAGCATAAATAATCAGTTATCTGTACCTGAACTTGCCACATCTTCAATTTTTTTGTTGAGGCTATGTGCCATGAAGCCAAGTGTAGAGAAAATGACAAAGCCAGCAAAAACACTAGTTGCACAGTTGATCAAAGAGATCATCATTGCATCTCTGAATACAAAAGAAAAGAAAGGTTATACCTTAAGAGTTAAAAACTTCAAAAATTGTTGCTCTTTCATTACAGAGAACACTATATTATTGATAGAGGGATTGCACTTGCATACAAGGGAACTTTGCTACCTCCCCTTCCCTTGACAAAGACACTGAATTTTGCAGGTCTTTTAAGGAGTAACAACTGCATTGCCCTGACCTGCAAACCACACAGCTTGCAAGCCAATGTCTAGAGGGCTAGCAGAAACAGGCAGCCAATCATTGTGCAGGGATGAGGTTACCATTCACAAAATAAAAGCACAAGTACAATGAAACTACTCACTTGAAAACATTGTTGTGGAACTTGTTGTAACTTCCCATGGCCACCAAAGAACCAAAGCCAATTCCAAGGGAGTAGAAAATCTGAGTTGCAGCTGCAACCCATACCTAAACAAAAGAACACATCCCTTAACACAAAGGTTTTTGTTTTTTTGCACTTGAATGAAATCACAGACAGCATCTCAGGGTTACATGTAAATCTCTCTATCAAGATCAGAGAAATCCATTTATTAAGTTGGCTAAGTTCACTAATTAATGAGCCACTGAATTAGATCTAACAAAATATTATCTGTTTTAAAATAGATGGTTCCCCCACATGTCCTTCGAGTATGTGAAACTGCATTATTTCACTGTTGGGTATCATGAGATAAAAATTCAGCTAAAATGTTTTCTCATCTCACAGCAAAATTTCGCATCAATTAAAACTGGTGCTACACTGCTTATGAAGGACTTATATCTTGCTTGATGCCTTAAATTTTTAATGGCTCAGGTTTCAGAGGATCAGAAAATTAAGAGTGTCAACCACAGTTCAAGGGAATAACCAATTAAGTTCGATACAAATTGAATCCTTGGCTAAGATTATTGTATAAGAACATATAGCAATTACCAACCTTGGGATCCTTGAGTCGATACCACTGAGGTTTCAAATAATAAATAATCCCTTCTTTCGCATTTGGAAGCGTGACTCCACGGATAAATAGAATAAAAAGTACCACATAGGGGAACGTTGCTGTGAAGTACACAACCTGCACAGAGAAGTAAAACAGTATTAATTAACTTGATCTTTTCTGCTTGCAGAATTCACTTTTTTTGAAAAAGTTACTTCTAACCCAGTGTTACCTTTCCAGATGACTTGACTCCTTTCCACATACAGAAATACACCCCAATCCACGCAGCTAGCAAACAAAGCAATATTTCCCATCTAAAAACTCCAGCATCCCCAATGCTGTCTGTTAAACGCAAGACATAATTTCTGAGAGAAGAAAAAACAAAAACATGCTGCATGTTAAAAAAAAAACACCATAAAACAATTTCCAATACACAAGCAATGTCATAAAAAAGGAAACTCTACCCTGCCATAACCAGATAATTCACCAAGAGAAACAAAGAAAAATGAATGATGACTTACTGCCAGTACTCTAGGGCTGGAGAAGAAAAATCATCTACTGCTGCCTTTGTGCAGTTTTTGAGTGTTGAATTAGCAAGTGCAGCAGTGCTATTTGCAAGGACAACTGTGCCATTAGAAAGGCCAGAAGAACATTCTGGAATCCGCCCAGCATAACACTTCTCACTGTTCCACCAATTTCCACACGACTTCCAAGGTACATCTTTGCGGAATGACAAGAAGAGGAAGTAAAGACACCAAGCAATGATGATATTATAGTAAACACAAACAAGGAAAGACACCATCATGCTTGCAAATCCAACACCTGAATAACAAAGAAAACAAAGAAAAGTAATCAGGACAATGAGTACATCACAAACCACGTTTTGCAACAAACTTCAAGTCAAGTCAAGTCAAGTCATCTTTAGTAAGGCAAGGGGGCCCTTTCAGCAACAGGGGACCTACTTAATACTGCTTTTCCCAAAAGTGTTCTTTGACCTTCAGTAAGGGTTGCACATGTATAGAAGAACAGCTGGCCTTTGCTTATAACTTACACTTAGGGGTCAAGGTTCAATAATACAAAATAAATTAATGCATCTTGAATTAACAAGATACTTCAGTCTTGTTTAAACATCACTTCTCACCCTTTAACTTCTGCACGTTTTTGGCATACAAGTTCTATTGTCAAGAAGGGCAATGAAATTACTGGTAAGAGATTTACCGACAAGTGAGGGGACATTATTTCCACAAACACTGGTTCATGCGACCAAGCCACAAAAAAATGTTCTGTTATCAATCTGATGAATCATTTTTCCTTTTGATGTTTAAGAGTTAACCTAATTTTTAATCACTCTGAACTATGTCAAGTAAATGCACAACACCAAAACTACCTTCCTCTGAGAAAAGCTTCATTGTTACCTTGAAACAATGGACAAATTGCACCCCATGTCCCTATTGGCCCAAGGCTGAAATACTGGCCAACAGCCAACTCCATGTAGAACATTGGCATTCCACACAACACAAGCATGATTAGGTAGGGAATGAGGAAAGCCCCTTGAAGGAATACATGAAATAAAAACAATGAGTACAGATATGTAAATGTAGCAATAAGTTCTGGGCTTGGTTCATTGTAAAGAAGATTCATACACAAAATAATTAATAACAAAAGCCTCCATTAGCGATTTACTGAGATATCAATAAGCATTGCCCACACAGATATTTCAGTAATTGTACAATTTCTATGCAGGCATTCTTCCAAAGTTCACCTCTTTTAACTCAAATGAAACATTGAAAGATGAACCACAAGGCACTAAAGATCTTGAAAAGCAAGTCTGAGAGCAGTAACCACTCTGCAAGAATGTAATAGGGAATAGTGTTAACTATTTCCTGACAATATTTTCTAATATACAATCTGCTACAATACAAATTTTTGGCAAAGCTTTCCAGCATAAACATTGTGAAACATAGCTATAAAATGTTTTTCTATTCATAATCAATAACATGTTTTTAAACTCATAATTGATTACCAAACAAGTGAAACAATAAAATAGATTCATGTCTAGACATGATAAAAGGTGTTGAGCAATATAATTTGAAATTTAAAGGAAAAAAATAGGGACAGTTTGTTACATTTTTGCAGAATACTGGTTCACAATGAAAGAAAAACGATTTAGATTGATATGATAGAAGACAGTTTTTTTCCCCCTTTAATTCTGTTTACGTCTCAGTGTGATGAATGACAAGCTGTCAAAGTTCCAAAGTTCATTTAGCCAATTACTGGATGTAGAAATTCCTCTTCGCGATTTATGTTACAACGAAATATATCTCTTTTACTTGCTTCCTTCAAGGAGTTTTGCTTTTAATTCACCTTTTGAGGCAAATAATTTATAACACTACCACTTATTTAAACGGGTAATATAAACTTCCGGTTACAATACATATCAGATGTACTTAAAGCAATTTCTAATTTCAACGATCAAAATGCACGTAACAAATAGAAATTATACACTAAGTTTTGTTGTCTGCTTCATCTACGAATGCTTGGGTCCTGTTTACATTCAAAAAGAGCTTTGAAAAGACACAACAATGGACATTCACGTGAGCTGTGGCTGAAAAATGTTGTCCATGTACGTGATTAGAGTTTCCCTCCGGGGTAGTTGAGCTTTATTTTTGTTTTTCACTCATAAATTAAACCTCACAACAACGCGAAAAGAAAAAGGATAGGCCAGCAACACAAAAATCCTCAACCCGCACTACCAGCGAAAAGTTTTGTTTGTAATTCTCGTGGTTTTTCCGCGAAAACCACATGGTTGCGCAGTCGGTGGGTAAATTATTCATCTCAAAATCACAAAGACAGGGAGCAAAAAATGTTTTCGGAAACCGGATGCAAAACCGAACAATAATTTTATCAAGGTACAAGATCTACGTTAGTGTGTAACAGGATCGTTAAAGCGTCCACTTAAATGGATTTTCTAAGTCACCAATACAACTTTCAAGCGGGGCGGGAAACCGTCTATGCATAGCTAATGAGAGTAAAATTACTGACTACGTTTATATTTATTCATTTGAATCCTACATCCAGCGTGGTCTATCTGCTCGCTCTCTGTGAGGAAACTGAATGAAATCAGGTGGCTTTTCGCATTTAAACCAATTTTTAATTGTACCGACTCAGTTCAGTGGCCTTTAAAACCCTGTGAAGGCGATTAAATAATCATACAGTCGCCATCGTGGAGTTGGTACACGAAACGAACACTTTAACCTAAGCCTTTTTGAGCTTACTTCTGATTTAATAAAGCCACTAACCTCCACCGTTGTCGTAGCACAAATAGGGGAACCGCCAAACATTTCCCAACCCCACCGCAAAGCCGATACAAGAGAGAAGAAAATCCGCTTTCTTCCCCCACTGTTCGCGTTCATCCTCTATCTCGACAACTTGAACGTCACGTTCATCAACAGCGCTGCTACTGCCACTAGCATCACTAGCCTGCTCGCCGTTTGCTTCTTTCCCTTTTTCAATCAATTTTTTTTCGCTCGATTCCATATCACTGCTCTTGCTCTTATCCATGTTCATAGTTTTAAAACCGGTTTTCTGCGCTGAATTCAAGCTCTTGGGGTACGCTAGATAAATTTACATATATCTCCACAGAGAGCATGTGGCTGTGACAACAACAGAGAATGCGCGCCAAAATTATAGCCAGTGTCAGCCTCGATATGAGGCTCGAATTACCTAAACAATGTAGCACCACGTGTGTCGCAATCGAGAACTCGTTACTTCAAATCACCTATTGCTCAATAAACCACGAAAGTCTGTTTGTTTGTTTTTAGTGTCAAGAGTTTTTCAAGGTCAGATACCAAACCCACTTTCCTTGTTGATGCAAAAGGAAGTGTGGGTGCTATTTGAAAGGATCGGTAAAGTGGTCACCTAATAAGCCATGGTTTCGTGCAAAAATGAGAAGAATCTCTAAAAAATCGATTTGTCCATCAGCAAAAATTACATCTTAGCATATTCATTCAAGAAAGCTTGCTACTTACAGAGCATAATTATCGGTTAAGTACATGATTCTCTTGGAAAATTCGGCAGCGAATTATTTTGGAGCTAAAAAAGAGAAGAATTAAATGTCAGCTTTAAAACTTTTAAGCTTGCGTCGCCGTTCATGACGTGACACGATGTTTTACATTTTCAGAACAATTGTACAGAAAGGGCTTTTTTACTATGACAACGAAGCGTCAATTGGCCCACTCTTAAGGAAAATTGTCGCTTTTAGGTTCATTTGCCTACTTTCTCGACTGTTTTTCTTTTTCTTTTTTTTTTTTTAAATGAAAGCTTCTCATCGTGAGGAAATATTCTCTGAGAGAAAAATAACCACTGCCTGCCAAGTTTGAAAGGTCCAGGGGTCAAGGGCCTTACAAGTTTGTGCTGAGTAAAGATTTCCATGCACGGAAACTATACGTGGACTGGAAGAGCGAAAAATGCTCTCTAAAAATAATCTTTTATTTTATTTCAGTAATCTCCCTAAAAATCATCCATTCCTGTTTCACGTGATCTTTAATGAATCGCCGTAATTATCTTCAAATACTTCGTCACTGGATTCAACATATTCTAGATCAATGATCCCAATATAAACATGAAAAACAAACACGGAATTTTACAGTCCTTATCGGATTTCAAAAGCTTTTTTGTTTCCGACTGTCTTATTTATGGCAATGATGCGTCGAGGGAACGACTTTACAATATCTCTATTTTTATGTCTTTGTCATCAATAAGGTCACGAGGCGATAGATTATAAACGTTGTTCGCTGTTACATATGTCAACAGAGAGTAAAGGATCATTTTCTAGAGGCATTAACCGTAATATTGCTTGCTTTGTCGTCTTTATTTACCAATGTACTATTTGGATCTCTCTTTAAGACGATTTTCAAATCGGAGCCCCTGAAAATATGGAGCTCTCCTTCGAAATTTTCACAAATTGAATTTTCTTTGAGTTGCACCGTACTGTTTCTTAGTTTGAGCTACGCACTTCTAGCGTCAGAATTTCGATCTGTAATGAGTGAAATCAACTCTAGTTGCTAAACAAATGAACGCGTCGTAGCTTGTCTTCTTACATATGGTTATTCAAGCATTCTGCTTCTTTCGAAACATAACCCAATATTTTTTCAAGTATTTTTTAAATGTACAATTCGGTCAAACAAAATAACAAAAGAACCTCTTTCCAGTACCAAGCCGTGAATTAAAAACAATTGCATTGGGGGAGGGGTAGGGGGGAGGTTACAGGATTTTTGTCGAGTCACGATCCCCCCATAAGGCTCTGTAATCGTCTTATGAGGCCCCTTTTTTGGCAGTTGATTGGCATTCAATTTGTATAGTCCCCCTTCCCCCTTTGTATTCTGTTGGCGACGACTGATGCAGTTTCACTTGAAAACCATATGATCCTCCCAAAATCCTTCGAGCCCCCTCCCTCCCCCAGGTTAGAAATTTTGACTGGTCCCTAATGCATGCTTTAGTCGAATACAGGCGTACGCTAATCAAATCTCTACTCTCTTAAAAAAGGAAATAGAATGAAAACAAAACATTAATAGAATTCCAAAGTTCAGGCTTTAAGCTCTTAGTGAGCTCCTAGGTCCTTATATGGCACACCTTTTCACTGCTACCATTTTCTGTTAAGTAGTTATCTGATTATCTGATTATCTGATTAAATAGTTATCTGATTATGAACGCATTTTGCCCAATTCTTACTTGAAGGACACAGATGACACCACCATCAACAAATCAAATTATACGAAACCAGAGTCATACAGGTATATTGCTACACACTTCTTATAAAACTAAAATATTTTATGATTTCGTGCGTCTCTTCAATAACAGACCGCAGAAGACGTCAAAACATGGTATGAACGTCATTGACACACCCGGCTGCCTGGGCGCGCTACTTTTTCGTTCTTGTCATACATTGACGTCCTCTGTGATCTATTCCTGAACAGACCCCCTGCAACATGGCAAATTTTCAAACTGCCCACACTTGTATCATGCGTGAGTGGAAGGAACACGTGATGAACAAGGCCTCTTACCTGCTAAATTTATACTGTTGACCAACAGCATCAACAGTAGCAGGCTAAATATATCATTTCGGTGATTCCATCATTCGACCTTAGCTAGGCTTATGATTAAACATGATGATAAAGATAACCTCATGTTTTCTTTCTTTTCTTAGAAAACAGAAGGTGGATAGCCGGATATTTTAATAAAGCTTTAAAATTACAGCTCAGGAGCTGAGTTAGATGAAACTTTACAAACGAATAAAAATAGGGATGAAATGAACAATATACAATCAACGAAATATAATAGCGTATATTTGCAGTAAAACTGAAAAATCATAGCTAATGCTTGAGTTCGTCAGAAAAACCGCTGCGGAAGTTTATCAGCTCTCTCTTTGCCTGTCGACCATCGCTGCTTTTGGCACCCACTTGTTTCCTCTGCCCAAGAGCCTGGCAAAGGCAAGTATTCTACTTCTTCCTACAAAGAAACAATGGACACGTACCATTTTGGCATAATTTGAATTGAGGATGGGCTGTACATAGACTTGACTATGTTCCATTCGATTTTTCCAAAATTATACTAGTTCTATTTTACCAGAAAGAGGGACAGTTATGAGAGCATTCTTTTGTTAAAAGAAACAGATGATCGAAACCAAACAAATGAGTGACTCAGCGTAACCTCTCTGTCACCACGTGACATTGGTGAGTGGGTTGAAAATGTTGACATAATAAGCGCTGCTGTTACCTTATTGAATTTAAACCCTTATATTTCTCAGCTGGTCTAAACTCACAATCCAATTAGGAAACACTGTTGGCCTACAGTATTATTCATATTTTCCTCCGCTTTACTCTTTCCTTGACGAGTTGTACACGCAGTTCTAAAGAAGAATGGATGAAAATACTGCTGAAAAAATTTAACTTAAATTTCATCCGTTTTATTTACCCATAATTTCAAATATATTATCCATCAGACAGTGACGTGACTAATCCAACCACTGTTAATCAAAAGTCAGGGATACTTATAGGATTTCCCGGCATAAAGTACCGACTAAAACCCCAAATAACTTGTGACAGTCAGATATATTTATTATTCTGTGTTGGGGAACAATATGCCATCTAAAGCTAAGCCTTCAGAGTGAGAAAGCTATTGATGTCTGCCGAAAAAATTGCCAAGTTGGTCCCGGAGATTGTTTTTTATTCATATGGAAATTTTGAGCGTACTGCGTGGCTTAAAAAAATATTTTAATTTCAACATCAATCATCTAGCTTTGTGTTGTCGTAAAATTTATATTTCCGTACGATATATATTTTAACACCTGTCCGCAAAAACGTGATCTGAAAAAATAAAATCAATTTTTGAAAGAAACTTGTTTCCTTACGTACGCGACGGCGCTAGACAATACAGCGGTTACACATCAGGCATGCGCAAGTGAAGCAATAGTGGTCACCCACCCGCCATTTCCCTTGCACACTATTCTAAAAGTCAAGAAATAGATTTGCTTAAAAGGAACGAAAAGAAGGGAAAAGAAAAACTGAAGACTTTTCTACCACAAGGCTCATTCAATTACGATTCTTCTGTTGATTGAGCTTTAACAAATATGTAATAAAGTTATTGAAAACCGTGAGTAACTGTCTTGTGGTTCTTTATAACTCCTGTGAGACAACTTGGTTCTGATAACACGAGTGTACGCTTCCTAGTCATTACAACGTTCGCACGTGCGCTGACGTTTGACCGCTGTGTTGCGCAAGGCACGTGATAAACGACACCTAGGCCCCAACCATCCCTTCCCATACATTTCGGAATAAAAGAGGTCTGTCTGTTTCTCTAAATACTTGCTGCTTGCTAATCTTTGCCGTGTTATGGGCGTGTCGAGGGAAGTGAAATGCTTTTGGAAAACAGATCTCGCTACACGCTTACAAACTTTTGTTTGAGTTTGTAAACACTTAAAAAAATAACTCCCAGAGAAGTCAAAAAGAACAAGTATCAACTCTTATATTTGTAATAAGTCAATGAAATAACACTCTAAAGTCATAAATAACTTCTGTTGATTTAGCAAACAGTAAATATATATTTTTGAATATATACAGTATTTTCCTTTAAATGAGTGCGATTGTAAGAAATGGCATCTCTGATAACATTTGCGTTTCTAAAAAGTCGATGAACTCCTTATTGTCTTTGGCCATCGCGCAAAATAACAAAAATCTAAATAACTGCATACAACGTTGTCTTTGGCTTAAAAACCTCCAAGTCGTATTTCGATCTGAAGAAAAACAGCCGCTGACCAGAAATAAATAACTAACCATTACCCATTCACCTATTTTGCAACCCTTAAGCTCCCAGGAACTAACGTGTAATTCTCTTTTCTTGCTGTTAAAAATTTTCCTCAAATAAAGTTAAGAGAATTTGGTGCTGCATCAAGAGAACTCCCTTAAGCTAATAAGTTACTCTATTTTTACAACCTGCTTGTTAGATAATGTACTGAAATTGGGAGATGAAAATAGATTTTCATCATTTCTGATTACCCCCCTCAACACAAACGCCAAGAGCAGCAGGCCTAGTGATTTCTTTCTGTGTTCGGCACACACATCATCTCGTGATAACCTTATGTGCGTCACGTAGTTCCCTCATGTCTCTCCAGCAATTCGTTATGTCTCTCACGTGATAACCTATGGGTGACCTATTTTTTGTTGTCTATAATCTGTATCTTCCCTGGATAGTTTTTCACTGAAAGAACTCTCCTTCTCCTCTGTAGGTAAATTAAATCTTTGTTACGTGGAGTGCCGATAGTAATTCAGAATTTCGTCGGTTTTTTAGTTAGAGAACTTGCATGTTCCAACCGACCAGTCATATTTAAAACCACGACTTATCGCGTTTTTGACACTCACGCTTATCGGCGCTTTAGGCAGTGTCGCTGGTTTTAACATAGGAATTTCCAGTACTGGCTCCTTGTCACACTTCCGTTCGTTGTTATAGTCCTGGTGTTGATTCTACGACACCCAATCGCAAAACGCACTGATGACCAGAGCAAGCTGTAAGTTGCCTTTGTCATACTTGACACGAAAAGTGTTTCTTAGTCCACTTCTTTTTGTCAAACGCCGCTCTGCGGTTTCAGATCAACTGTTCAGGTTTCCACAGCCTTCATCATCGTAGTGATGTTTCTTCACTGTCTTTTTGGTTTAGTTAAGCGTCACTTCCTCGTGTTTTAAGCTTGTTCAGTATGCGAACACAATGTTCAGATACCACACTATCATTAGTCCGCGCAGTACTGGGAACTGAAGAAACGCTGGATTGCTGACTACAAGCTCCAGACATCCGGGATCTTTCCAGAAACCTGAGGAGCCGTTGTTGAATTCCAAGAGATACAAGGACCTGTGCGAAAAAGAAAGTGCAAAGAGATGGAAAAGACTTGTTTCTAAAAGTCCGCTGTGTCTCTCCGCGGTAACGGTTCCCCAACATAAAAATCTCCCTACTCTCAAGCTAAGGAGATTCAGCAAAGAGTTGGTCAAAAACAAAGGTTTGGAGCACACGTTCATCATTAACAAACCTGTCTGCACCGAGGATTTCTACAGAAAAGTCTTAAAGTCTTCAAAGCTGCATCCTGTGGCTCAGCGTGTCCGTCATTGCAGGCCATGTCGAGAACACTAAAACAGGATAAGTAAGATGTCCTCGAACTAATCAGTATTGTTCACGTAAATTAAAAAACACGAATTCAAATCCGAACTGCACGGTAGAACTGCAAAAAATTTGAAAAGTAACAATTCTCTTACCCGTGTGGTGCTTGTGCCTTGATTAATTGCTGATAGAGCAACGGCGAATGTCTCACCAAATTACCTAAAGCGCCTGCGCGGAATAGAAACAAACTGCTCGGTGAGGGCAAAATAAAAAACAATTCCCTAAGTTAGAATATATCATCATCAACAAGCAGTCTTCATGGAAACAAAATCTTGGGGAGGAACGCAGAGTTCCGTTATCCCTTTCCTAACGACAACGAGGGCACCATCACAGATGCATACCCTCTTTAGGAATGAAACTCAGCAAGTGGCCCAGCCGTCCACACAGTTCAATACCACACAATCCTTTGCAAAACCTTGTCATATGGCCTTGTCAGTCCAAGAAAAAAAAAATGGTTGTGGTGCTAGACAAATGGCATACATGGAAAGAATGTAATTGAACTGATATTTCTTATCGAGACACGGCCGTTTAAGAGCGAGATACGAAGACAGGCAAACTTTACCAGTGAGAAGATTTCCCCTTACAAGTCTTGTTAAATGCTTGCATATCAATTTATCAAAGGCCAAGAAATTGGAACTGATTGCACTAATTTTTAAGAAGGATTTCATTTATTCTATAAGACTATTAGAGAGTTTTACAAGATTCTCACCTGCTGCATTAGCTCGTGTTCTCGCAACCGAGTCTGTTAGTGAGTCAACCAAAAGAGGTACAGCTGGTGTCAGAGCTTTGTACAGTGAGTCGCTATGATACGCTGCGTTTCCCAAAGCAAAAGTGGCGGCCTGAACAAAGATAACAAAACAAAGACGAGGAGTATAAAGGAGAAAGCAGTAATATTTTGAGTTGTTTTAGATCTGAAAAATCCAGGCTCAATTTTCCAAGATGCACTGGCCGTGATCAAGCTCCTGAGGCAGCATGATAGGCCCTAGAAAAGAACTGTTAAAACCAATAGTTTGATATGTAACCGAACAAATCGAGCGAAAACAATTTTAGAATGACTGGGATTCGCGTTTATTACAAATGTTAACCACAAATTTACATCTGATTACACAAGTGTCCGTTAATCCTTAAAGAGATCCAAAAGAAAAAAATTGAGGAATAACTACATTCACCTAAACTGAGCTGTAATACTGTAGCATTCTTACACAAACGGCTCCAAGACAGACACCCGTTTGCGTGAACCACGAGGGCGAGGATGATTCCTTAAAATTCTTGGTAGATGTGTGCCGCCCAATTCTCCAAACCCTGACCCCACACCTGTTTTCAAGATCTGGCCTCTGAAATCCATACCTTCTTCGAGACAATACAGATCAAGAAAAGCAGTAACAAATCACCTTTCGAACATTGGCGTCATCACTCTTCAGACAGCTGATCAAAGTTGACAACAAATTCGTTCTGCAAGTAAAGAGAGTAATGTATAATGATTCGGTAAAGAGAGCCAAAGTAATTTTCTAAATGGAAATTCAAAATGTTCCTCTTGTTTTTGATCATACAGTGTCATAAGGAATCCTGAATTGCTACGTTTTTCCTGCTCTGTCATTGGTCGTCTAAAATTGCTCCATTCTCTCGACCAATCAAATACAAGTGAAATGAAAGTGAAACCAATCACGCCATCGCCATCCGCGTTTTCCCGCGGTTTAGGTCAACTTGTTTACGTCATTTACTTAAGCTGTCATTGGCTCCTCGTAATGTCAATCAGTAATATCATTGACGATGAGCCTCACACAATTTCATCGACCTTATTAGTTGTGCAACTTAATTGTAAATAATAACAAAGAGCAAAGGAAAGCTATAATGATAATTAAAAAAGAAGTCAGATCCCAAATTATCTTCTTCAGTTTGAGTCAATGATTCTTACCTTTGAAGAACAGGATAAAAAACGGCAGAGTGCTTCAGTATATTACCCAGCATGCCACAGGCGTTGGCACCGACAGCCGAACTCGTGTGTGTAAGCAGATTGTATAGGGGCTCGTATGATTCTGAAAGGGAGACTCGGCTTTATCGAAGCTTTACAAAAATAGAAAAATAGAAAATTTCATATAATTTCAATACCTTACCTCGATCACCTTGCAAGACTCTTGTAACCATGGCAACATACTCGGAAGAACTTCGAGATACATGACTCAAAATCGTAATGACGTCATTCAAGAGAGTAACAGAGTTATCCGCTGACACCAGTGAAGTTAGGAAAGGTTCAGCCTAAAGTAAAATTAAAAGGTCATCCAATTAAACTTGTTCATTAGGTCAGAAAGGGTGACTAAAAAAACAAACGAGCGTAAAGTTTATAGATGAAATATTTAAGTGCGAGGGTCGGTTATCAAGACAGGGTTAAGCCGTTTTTGGCAAAACGGCATGGAAATCATCCTTAATTTAACCAAACAATTTATAAAAATTGTAATATTTGTGCACAGCATCAGGTCAGAAAACAAGTCAGAAAAAATTTCATTTCTTCAACACTCCGCTTAAAATGAGAAAAATCTCGCGTTACTCTGATTACTCATTGAGCAGGATCATTGGTATTTTTCTCTCGAAAAGCAGACGTGGATTTCAGAGAGGGTGGAATATTTAAGTTATATTTAAGTTTTATTAATTTTTTTGCATCTAAGTTTACCTTTTGGTTTGTGATATCTCTTGCTAGTTGTGTTACAAAGATTTCATCACTAAAAACCAACCTAGCGATCAGGCCTGAAAATGCACACAGAATAATAATAATAATAATAATAATAATAATAATAATAATAAGAATCAACAGGAATAAGCTGCAAACAAAATCACTTTGTTTCTTTGGGAAACTTTTGCTTTCTTAATATAAGGATGCAACGCACCACACCTCAGATAAGTTGTCACGTTTTTCCCGTGACTAGTGAATAACAGTGAAGTATTAATCCTTTCGCTGCTTGTTGCGATTAACACGTCACTTTTCCTTAAGTGTCTTCATTTTCTTCGAAAAAAGGCAAGGTCAGATCTAAAGGGAGGGTCCAGGAGGTGTACACCCCCCCTTCGCTCCTATCAGCCTTGTTCGGTTTTTCCCACTCCTTGTCTGACACCAAAATTCTTGTAACGACAAGATCGCATATCTTACTTACCGAGAGCAAGCTCCAAGTCTTCTACAGGCAAAAACTTCGATGAAAACTCCAGCAGGTTAGGAATAAGTCGGTGTTCGTACAAAGTACTGGCGTAAGAGAACACAGACAGAAAGTGTTTTAGTATAAAGTAAAAGATACCCCACACAAGACAAAACATGTTCACGGTGGCCGTGTTCACCTTTGTGTATCGTGAAGGAGATGTTCCTCGATGTCAACTGCAAACGGGAAGTAGAAAATCTTGATGATCTGCAAAGAAGTTTTATAGAATGGTCATGACTGAAGGAAATGCGTATATTGGCTTAGCTTTACAGAAACGCGCACTCTAAATAGCTGATACGCTCCATCCTTTTCTTTTACCCGTGGGTTGCATGCTGACATCAGTTTGTTTTACTTTTCTTTTTTCAACACGAAACGAAAGATGTTTGAAAGTCTCAATGTTCTAAAAGAAATGTTTAGTGTGCAGCAAGCAACCATCGAGTTATGGATGCACGCGGGAGGTTTGCTAAGCACTCAAGAAGCTAGAGTCGCTCTCGGCTATCGCTTCGTGCGACTCTTAGCTACTTTCGTGCGTAGCAGCCTCCCGAGTGCATCCATAACTCGATGGTTGCGCGCTAAGCATTACTTAATTATGGAGCACATCGAATATCACATACAAGCACTTAGACACTATGTTAACCTATTGAACTTTTTTTTTTTTTTAGTAGTATATAAAATCGTGCGGAACAGTTACGTGTGCCGGCCACATTTGCTAAGGACGTTTTATTTGTCTCAACAAATAAGGCCAAACTTTGAAGCCAATTGTGCTTGTTAATCCCCCGGGCAGAAACGGTTCTTTAAAATCTCTAGTACAGGGATGCTCCGAGCCAAACCGTTACCCATTTGTGTACGACTTAGGTCCAAACAGCCTTCCCATGGAAAATGATTCCCCCTATGATGTACCCACAACAAAGCACCATACCCTTGTAGCGTCTTTTGACAAAAAGCGAGGAAAAAAGATGTACATTTCCCTTCTCTTTTTCTTGAGCAGCCCTTCAAATCTATCATTAAACGCTTTCTTAACACATCAATAACAGTTTTCCTTACTCTTTTCTTTACCCCAACTCGCTAACTCCCTCGCCCCCCTTCCCTGGTCGTAAATCACTATTCTGAAAAAGATAATCCTTTGTTGAGGAACCCACGTACATTCAACTCTGGGAAGTACCCTACCCCTGGGGGATGAACAAGATTTTTGAGGTAAGAATTACCACAGACCTGGTCTTACTGGTTGACAAAAAGTAACAATGACTATTACCATAGGTAAACTATGGGTATAATCACTTCTATACCATGAGATCCAATTCGAGAAAAAAGATGTACGATTTGCAACATCAGAATAGAGTTCACGCTCAGGATTGTAAAAAATTACCTTTCTCATAAAAGCTTGAAGGACATCTCCTTCTTCTCCTTTCTTTTCATACGTAAAACTAGCTAAACTGGAAGATAAAAACAAGATCGTTGCGTTGAAATTAAAACGCCATTATCCTTTACTTAATCACACAGCGAGTGATCCTCAACTTGAAGGTTAAAGGTTCATGCAAAAAAAGAAAATTAACATTCTCTTCGTGGAGCTCTGGGGTGCAAGTGACCCCCTTACTTTTTCTCACCCACGTAGAGGCACTGAAGAGAAGACGATTTCCCTGACAATTCCCCAGAACTCATTTGTACTCCTGGGTGGAGAGAGGCATGGTGAGACTGAAGTGTTTTGCCCAAGAACACAACACATTGACCCGACTAGGTATGGAACCCAGGACTCTCGACCCGGAGCCACCGAGTGGCATTATGGTCAGAGAAGAGTAGGAATAGAGTATTCCCAGAAAAGGTTGAAACACTCACTGTTTAGATAGCTGCTCCACGAACGGTGTTGTAAGCATTCTAATCAAACAAGAGACTGCATGTGTAGGAGGTTCAACAAACTTCAATATACTCTGCAACGGGACCTAAATAAAGAAAAAATAAATTCTACCTCAGTCTTGGCCAACTGAAACTTATTTCAACTCTAATTAACGTAGAAAACAAAACATTAAAAATAACGGAAAACGTCATCAAACTTCCTTGATACTCAGACTTACTTTGGTAAACAGGTCATGTGAAACACGTAAGAGATGTTCTAAGCCACTATGTGATATTACCCCCCACTGAACAACACCCACTCTGATGTTCACTTCTTCCATCACAGCCTCTAAATCTCTGAGAAAGAAATGAAAATTTAGCAATGAATCGCTTTTATCAACTTCCATGAGAACATCATACCTTGATAACTTTACCGCTCATTGACATAAATCACATAACAAAATAAAAACGTAAATTTTCCATTTCTCCATTCTCCGGGGGATTTTGAATTTTTGTGAGCCCCCAATCCCCTCTGTTCTCCGCCCTAGCGGTAAATAATAACTGATCCCTAGTCTCAAAACTAATGCTCCTGGAGGGGGGGAGGGGTTTGCGGGATTATGAATTTATGTAATCCCCAACTCCCTCTGCCCCCCAGGCGATAAATAGTGACTGATCTTTTACCTCAAAACTAGTACTTCTGGAGGGGTGAGGGTCGGGGAATTTTAAATTTTTGTGACTCCCCCCCCCCATTCCCTCTGCCCCTTTCTAAGGCGATAAATAATAACTTACCTCAAAACTAAAGCATCCTCTGGTTCTGTATTCAGAGCAAGACCAACTGCACACCATACACTGTTCCAAAGACCGCTCTCAACAACTTGGTAATGCACCCTGGACCCACTATCCTGTACGTACAAAGTAATCGGTAAAATTTAACACCAGTAGCACTTCTTATTACTGTCTTGAATCGCTTAGAATTCTTTACACGCAACCGAAAAAAGGATTGCCCTACTGGTTTGAGAATTTATTTTAACTTTCGTGTTTAAAATAAGGGAGAACACTGAATACGTCTCCAACAAAAGACATCGAACGTAGCCCAATGGACGCACTTCTTGAGAAGCAGGAAACGTGAGCAACCAAATCGTGATTGGTCCACCATCCGATTGACTGAGAGGGACCGAACAACCTTTTAACCACGGTCTTTTTCGCACTACATGTTCACCGTTAAATTTTAGATACAACATATAAGTACACACAGTTATAACTGAAAGAAGCGGTAAGAAAACATGGAGCAAACGTCTAAAAACCTGCGTGAGGCAATATTCTAGCAACTCTGTAAAGCCATCCAGAAGGCCACCATTGACTCCAACAAGCATCTGTGGAATCTGAAAAAAAAATATTTGATTCAGTGAGACGTCTTGACCGACACTATGGAGGCACTATGATACACAGCCAATTAGAGAAGAGGAGTATGTACCATGTGGTACAAATAAACCAGTCATAAGTTCGTATTGCCATCCAAAATGGCGATTTGATGTAACGCAATCCCATTGTCACCCAAGTGCAACGCTATCACATGCAAGGCTCACGTTTTCACACGTAAGGAGTCACGCTGTCACACTAGCCATATGATTTCTCCGTTTTTACCAAGCGGTACATAACTCTCTTCTCTGATTGGCTGTATACTGTAATGCCCTCTAACACTACTACTGGCTCATTCCCCTTTTAGGAAAAGCGCAAGCAAGTTGAAACTCAGAGAAGTTAGCTAGGTTGCTAGAGGAGCTGTTGACCACTTACCGGTGGAATTCCTGTCAGAGCTGTAGCGATGGCGTCTATAAGATGTTCACTCTGATCAAACTGCAATTTGGGATCTGAACTGGTCAGTCTCGCAAGCAACATGGCTGACAGAACTTGGATTGTAAACACACTTGTCCCAGTGAAAATGGAGACAATGTGGTCTGCGCAATCGGAAATCCTGCGACAATAAACAAAGCAGATGCGTCTCTAAACCAATCACGAAGCGAAGTAAAGTAGTAAGACCAGATTACTTTTAACCAGCAAAAGAGAGCTTTTTTTATTGAGTTTCGTAAAACCAAGACCAAAGTAACGACAACGGTCAGTCAGAGGAAGGAAACTACATTTGAGAGCCAATGAGAATTCCACGTAAAAACAACCAATTGCCTAAAGTGAGGGAAAACGCAAGCGACCAAGTCGCGATTTGTGATTGGTTGAGAAAGTGGCATCAGTTTTCTGAACCAATCACAGATTACTTTCGACGCTCACGTGAAAATTGCTCGGACTTTGAACCCGCAATTGCATGTACACTTACTCGGTAGGAATGTTCTCTGCATTCGTCACCATGCAACACAAAATTTGTAAAACAGAACAAGTCTCTTTACAATTGGCATCCTTTCCATTGCAGCTTGTTAAACACTTTGTTAACGAAACTATCCATTTTGCTTGTCTCGTAAGATGCAGACTGAAGTCCCTGGACACCATGCAAAGTTCAGCAAGAAAGTTCAAGACTGACAAAGACGAGGCTTTGTGGTGTAGAAACTGGTGTAGAAGATCCACGCAGTTTTCATTAGATGGGTGAAGTAATTTCTTTGCTATAAAGCTGGCTAAGTTTCCTTTTGTGTTGGACTTGCTATTTGTAGTCTTTGAAGAGGTCACCAGGGCCAGTAACGTCGTTAAAGCAACAACTTGCGGGCGCATTATCGTCGCCCTTGCAGATGGAGAATCACTGATCGCACCTAATTCGAAAAAATTCAAAGTCGTAAAAAGTACACTGTGAGAGTTATGTGTCTTGTGCATGAACATAACACAACGAATCGACAAAGACAGAAAAAGACCTCTCGATCCACAGTCAAATAGAGCAAAGAGTGTCGAACGTGATCAGGATTTGTTTTGGTTCTGCTTCACTTTGCTATGTGATTGGTCCACAAAACTTGCGCTATTCTCTCACATTTCAGATTCAAAACTAAAACTTATCGCGAATTCGTCCCTCGCGTTTTCCCGAGCTGTCCTTTGCGTTCTTATTGGCTCCTTGTCATGTATTCCTTTCATCTGACTGGCTGTTGTGATTACTTCGGTTATCGTTTACGGCACTAAATCGGAATCAGTTCTACACCAACCTGTAGTCCACTGTATCTCTGAAACCTAGATAAGCACTTTTGAACTGAATAACATAGGACAAAAATAAATTATAGTGATCTCAACAAGAAAAAAAGAGAATATCACAAAAAGCCAATCAGAATTCAAAGTATAAACAAGCAAACTGCTCATGGCGGGAAAATGTAGGTGACCAATCTCTTTTGGTTTTAGTTTTGAAGCTGATTGGTTAAGAAAGTGGCGCGTGTTTTATGGACCAATCACATCGCGAGGTAAAGCAAACCCGAACCAATGCCAGATTACTTTCGATGCTCAATTGAAAATTTTTCGAATAGAGCTGAACCATAAATTGTACCTTTAACTCTTTGTATGGCACTTGGTCCCCCATGAAGCGCAGAAATGAGGCAATCCACGCTCTTTATATCACAGGTAATAAGATTGTCGTAGAACTCTTCAGCTACTGCGTCATCGTGCTTGTCTATCACTTCACATAGATACTGAACGCACTGTTTGCACGAGAGAAGTCACGTCAAGCTTTGAATCAGATTGGTTGAAAACGTGGCACACGGGGGGAAGTAAAGTAAAAACCAACGCAATTGCCGACTTCTTTCCTTACTCTTTGAAAAAGCTCCATGTCATCTACTCAGAAGATTATTTTATTTTATAACTAACCTTTGTCATCTCAGTCCTCTAATATCATGAAAAACCCTTACATTTGTCCTCACGTTTGATGGGCAAACGAAACTCAACTTTAAGACAGCTTGTTAACATAAAAATTTTTCATGCAAAATAGTGCCCAGTAATCACATCTAGTTTCTTTGTGAATTAATTAACTAAAAAAATCATGGTGATTCTTGAAAGTAAGGATAAAGGGCCAAGAATCTCCTAGATAAGTGAACTACCAGTAAGGACACGATATGGAACACACCTCTAAGGCTGCCTGTCGTAAGGAGAGTTCTTTGTCCTGGCTATGCTGCATCAGTGTTGGTAAAACACCCGTAAGTTGCTTTCCATAGCTCAAAATGGCTGAACTAAAGGGAAAAAGGGTAGTCATATGCAGAATTACATTTCAAAGTAAGGAAACCATAAATGATATGGCATGAATATGAACCTACTGACACATATGATAGAGCAGCAACATAACGATAAGACGTGGAAATCTTTCAAAGTGTTAGCTACGCCTCTGATCATTCTCGTGATTGACACAGTGGACTCCCTCTAAGTGGGAATGATAATGATAATGATAATGATGACAGACCAAATAGGACTTCATCTCTGTGTATGATGTTATGAGCACACAAAGGGCAAAAATATAAAGTCAATACGATCTAATTCACCTTTCTTTCATGAAGTCACTGCCTAAAGGAATGCAGCTCCTAAGGTAAACTGTCATCAAATTCAGCAAATCCACAATAACCTGGACTGCCCATGGCTGCTACATTGAGGAAAAACAGACGTTAATTTTAAATCATTAGAACAATGTGACAAGGTTACTTGAGGGTATTTTTAAGTGTATTTTCACATATATATATTTGGTTCTTCTTATTTTTCCACTCAGGTAATTTAGAGATACCAATTGCATTCTTTTCGATACTTTCTTCTTAATAATCATAGTTCTTTTTTGTTAACCCTGTAGATATCGGTAGATGTACGTACAACTGTCACTCCCTAGCCTTATTTAGTTTATAGTTTTTGTTTAATTTTCTTCCTTTCCCCCATAAATTGGCTACTTCCTGTTCAGTAAATCAGTTCGTTTCAGTTGGTTCACACACAGTTTCAGTAGTCTTCTAAAGAATTATTCCAGCCATTTTAGCATGCACAGCTATCAATAACCTATGTCTTGCTTGTTCCCCTTTTTTTAAATTGTTTTCATTGTTTGTCTTGATTTAATAAACCTGTAAATCTTAATCTCAAATCTGTTGTTGAGCTAACCGTTTTGGCTGTCTTACAATATCTATCTATGAGCAATATCTATAGGTATAATTATAAAATATGTAATGTTTACCTGAGAAAGACCAGATTTTTGTAAGAAATTAGATGCTAGTCACTCTTATGGGTCAAAAGTTACCAATGTTCAGAGTTTTTTTAGGTATACACTGTCCCTCAGGAATACCAAGTGAGCTTGAAAATTTGAACTTAACTTCTGGTGGGCTTAAATTTTTAATGTGAAATAGACAGCTGGTTAAAAATCATCAGTAGACTAAGAGATATTTAGAATTTAATAACAATGAAAATCTAATATGACATGGACTTAACCTCTTTAAGCAAATTAGCAAGTAGGAATAAGTATCTTGGTTTAACCTTCACCCTTTACTCCACGAGTCATGGACACAGTTTCTCTAAATGGCAATAACCAGCAGACAACTGGTGAGAATCTTTACTTCACAAGTTATGGACAAAATTCAGTAGCCTCCTCAACAGCATTAACCAGCAAACAGCTGATGAGGATAGATGCACTTAGCAACTTGAGCATGACTAATCTTCATTAAACACAAAAGTCTTAAAAATAATAAGCAACCTGCAACAAGCTGCACAACAAATAGCACTGAGAGTTACAAATCAGACCAGGGAACTGAAAGGTAAATATCACTACAAAAAACAAAGGTATGTATGTAAGAGCTACTTACCAAGCAGTCATCAACAAACTTCTTAACACTCTCAAAATTTGTCGAAAACGAGATGCTCCCTCCAGCAGGCCATCTAAGACTTGTACTGCCACAGTCTCTAGTGAACTCTGCACTTTACTGATAAAAGCTGCGTCAGTCATAAGTTTCTCTGGAATCCTATCATCTTCTTCACTGCTGTCTTTTTGAGAACTACTTGTCGCAATCTTGTCAGTCAGTTCCACAAGGTAGTCCCATTCTTCTTCACTATCAAGTTCCTCCTAATCAAAAAAAAATAAATATTCAACCCTTTAACCATTTGCACCCTAACATCAGTATGCATATTCACCATACTGTTCTCTAGACATTTCCTAAGGTGCTGACAAGGAGAATTTGTATAAAAGTCAAGAGCTTCTTCAGTTGGTGATCATTTCCTTTATTCCCACAACTTTACTGTTTGATTCAGGGGTGATATTGTAAGGAGAGATTAGATGTTAATCACTATTTGGGATCAAAGGATTTAACTCCCAGAAGTGATTTATATAACTTCTCCTTGCAAAATCATCATCAATATTCAATCAGCCAATGGATATGGAAACTTTAATTTTTGCTGTTCACCTGTCCTCCATGGCCAGTCTTGCTCTTTTCTTCTCTTCTCTTCACTGCCGCAGCTAAGACTTGTTCAATAACTGATACCTCTCTGTCATAGTCGTCACTGATTTCATGTCCTACTCTGTCAGTAGTAACAGGCCTGTCGTCCAGCTTCACCTCCCAATCATCTACACATACATGTTAAACATGTAAATTATCATCTTTCTTTTTCATTTTGTTGCAATTCAAAACTTCTCTTTAGTAATTCTGTCATTTCTGATCTATCATTACAAGTTTTTCTATGTCCCTTTTATGTTGCCAGGTGATTTTTGTTTCCAATTATGAAAAACTATACAAATTAACTGCTCATAGTCCAGATCAGTTTTTTTTTATCAATAGCATCATGAAAATTATCAGCTGACAAAAAAAAATGACTCTAGGTTCTTACCATCAACAGCTTTTTCTTCCGTAGTTTTCACCTTCTCTTTGGCCTCTTTAGAACTTATTGCTGGTTTTGTTTCTGTTTCCTTTACTAAAGGAGGCTTTTTCTTCTTTGGTATATTACTCTGTGCTTTCTTTTTTGATTCCTGTCTCCCTTTTTCTTTGCTTTCTTGTTTTGGATCATTTCCTTTTTGTTTATTTTGCTGTGTTCCTTCCTGCTGTTGCTGAAGCTTTCTTATCCATGATGGACGTACCTCCCCAGTACCAGCCTCTTTCTGCATTTTTGGTTATTGTAAAGAGAAAAAATTGATAATTTAAGTTCCACAGTCATGTAATCAAAATGCAATTAATTTCAACAAGGTTAACACTTTATTTGAGAACTTGTTTTACTTTCATCTCAAATGAATGACTCTTAACAGCCAAGTTTAGGTTCCAAAAGCAAGTTACAAACTGATCTAGTTTTGACAGCTTCAATTCAAGGTCCATGCATACAGTGTAAGCAAGGATCTGTGAGCAGATGAGGATAGAAACATGCTCATTCAATCTCTGCTGCATATCTGCCTGGTTGTGGAATTAGCACTCGTCATTTGGAAATCCCTGTTTAGTTGTAAGTTCATTTAATCATACAAGTTTAAGTAAAAAGATTTGAAAATGCAACTGTATAAACAAAGAAGCCTTGTCCCACAAACCTTTGTCTTGCTTTCCTGAGTTTTTCCTTTAGTCTTAGCAGTTTTATTGACATTGCTTGCTGAATTTCCAAACTTCTCAAACATCTCCGGAGTACTAAATCTTTCCAATTCAGCTTCTGATGGGAGACCAAAACAGGAGAATATTAATTCACAAAGTTAAAAAAAAAAGGATTCAATGACAAAGAATTTTAACTCACTCATGTCTAAGGACACACCTGTCAATTTCAGGGCAGGAAACTTGGGCCATCTGAATGTATGGGATGGGAAAAAGTTTTCATTTGGACAAGGAAAATCATCAGCTTGTGATCCAGACAAGCAAAACAAACTGAAGGGACAAGTGACTTGAAAAGAAAGTTTCCTACCCTGAATCAGGAAATCATGACTTCACAAACTCCAATCATAAGGTATGAAAACTGAGTGAAATAAGCTCATAAACCTTAAAAATAAATCAGTATTTTTACAGTCAACCACAGGTTTTGTGTAATGTTGCAATGTAATGATCACATCTGTTGATCTGGAAAATACTATTTATGACAAATAATGTTACAAAACTGACTGAAATTGGCTCATACACTCTAAGACAACACTGCACAATGTTATAGCTGTGGTAGCCAGGTGACAAAAACCTTGGCACAGTTATTCTCTGTTATTGTAAACACTCTCTTGAAATTCAAACCCAGTTTGAAAATATTGTGACAAAAGCTAAGTATAGGTGTAAATTCAATAAACTTAACTGACCATTTATTCCATCTGCTACAAATGGATGTCTGAGTAAATAAGGCCATGAAAGCCTTTTTTTGGGTTCTTTAGTGAGAAGGCCTTGGAGAAAACTCTGAAAAAACATTTAAAAATTGCGATATGTTTTTGTTTGTTTTGGTTGAGGAGGATTAAGTACATTTAAGAGTAAAGTGTTTTTCTCTGAACACCTTGTGTTATGATAAATATATTTGATGGTTGTTATTTGAATTGTACTCGAAATCACAGGAATTGTTAATAAAGCTCATGAATGGACAAAAGTCTTTTTCTTTTGTTATTTAAACAATTGTTTTTTTTGCTCAAATTTACATGTTAGTTTGATATATTATTCTGCGTGAGTAACCATCAAGAAGAGCATGGAATAAAGTTTTTGAGTTGTACAATGCTGTGAAAATCAATACCTTGATCTAGCTATGGGTTGGACCAGCACTTCTCCATTTGAAGTCCAACTCTCTAAATTATTGGCCAATACATCTTACATAATTATCTACTGACAGAGCAAATTTACCAACCTGAAAATCAGGGCTCATATTCTCTGGCCATTTAACAGTGTCCTGATCAAGGTTCAAACATTTAATCATTAGTCTAGGTACCACTGAAAATATCCATAGAATTTGAATCCAGAAGAAAAGTTTGCAAAAACTATTACTATCAACACATTGACACATACCCGGCAGATAAGGTTCACAAGCTGAAATATACTGTTGGTATAAAATGGTGGCGTTCCAACAAACAGTTCATATAAAATACACCCAACTGACCTAGGAAATATGGATAAGCAGTAAAAGTTATTCAAAAATGATTTTCAAAAACAAATACTGGTATTTCAGAATATATACATAGTCTGACACACATTAATACATATTTAACAATAGCATACAATTAATGCCATCCTTTGACAGAATTTTGTAACCTTCATTTTATGTACAGAACTAAATTTTCTGGCATGAACTACACGACTAGAGATGTTACAAATTTTCAAACCAGAGATTAAATTTCTGCCTCTCACTGCCTTGCAGTTATGATAAATAATCATGATAATGAAAATTATGACAACTACAGGGTTAATGATCATATTGAAAAATTTCAATGGTAATGATAATGACAATGATGATGGCAATGACCATGGCAATGATGATGACCATGACAATGGTAAAGACAATGACAATGACAATGACAATGACAATGACAACATTGGTGATGACAATAATGAAAAGGACAATGATTGTGAAAATCCACAAAAAGTAATACTCAAATTCAACTAAAGAAAATAATTAAAACACAAAAGAGAAATCACCCACAGTGAGACATAAATACAATGTACAATTTGAGATACAAACCAGAGGTCAGAGTTGTGATCATAAGGTTTCTCTTGAACCAGTTCAGGAGACATGTATAATGGAGTTCCCTACAAGAAGAAAGAGAACAATCAGTGGTGTCCAGGTAAAAATTAGGTGGGTTTGACTGTGTGTCTGTTGAATATAGACAAATTCTATTCTAGCTTTGTTTTTTTACCTTCTCTTTTTTCCTTTATTTTTTAACGTACTAAGAAGTGCAAATAACACAAGCAATTGACACAACTCATCCTTTCAATTTCACTACACAATCTGCTATACAATTGTGAACAAAAATGTTCTGACATCTGCCTTAAAATTTCCCTTTTCTCCTTCTTGTCAATATTGTTTCTGGTTCTCTCTAACTGAATAAGCACAATTTATCAAACAAATAGCAACATTGACTGAAGGGGATGGAATAAAGACATTTATGAAGTTAATGTATACCAAGCACATTGTGTATAAAAAAAAGAGATCTTCAAAGTCTCAACAGGTTTTGCCCATGAATGTGGCAACCAGATGGCAAGAATAAACAGATTCATCAACTAAAGGGTGTTGACTTTGTAGTGACAGTGTGACGATTTAATCTTTAATTACTGGGCTTCCTGTGTTGTTTAGTGCCCATGCACATGTCAGCAGAGTTCTTAATCTGTACATGTCAGTGGAATTGTTTTTTGTTAGGCCGTCATGTTTATGTTGTTCAGTATATAAGTACAAGGTCTTGCTGAATTAAGCCTCGACTGTGCAAGGATTGAACTTCTCTTTCATTACAGACTTAGTGCAATGTCAAATTCTCTCATCTTATATACTAGGAAATGTATGGTGGTTGTAAAGGAGAATGATGCATCCAGTCTTGCTAGTTATGGGAGTTTTTAAACTTGCCTTAATTGATGTCAGCACAAGGGTGTTGATACTCATTGCTCTTGCAAATCTGGACATGGTTGAAATAGTAGACATTTAATACCTATGCTTGTAACAAATTACAGCTAAAACTCAGCTTGGCAACTTCATAATATTTTTTTTGTTCAGAAGGATACTTCCCAGATGTTGCTGACAACAATTATGATTACAAGTAAAATGTATATTACAATTATTATCAAGTTGCAAAAATGGGATGATAAGTTATTGAAACAGTTATTGTTTTGATATTAAAAAAAGTCAAAATATGATTTTCAATACTAATGTATAAACTTGATTCTGCCAAAATTGATCAATTGGAAGAATCAAAATTTGAGTCAAGGGAGTTTAAAGATAGAAGCAGATACAGAGACAGTGAATGTCCAATGATGGTATGAATATCTATAGAACAAGAACTCTTGCCTACATACCCAAAATCACACAGTTTCACCACACCACCTTTTCCAAGAAGAATATTTTGAGGTTTCATATCTCTGTGAAGAATCCTATGAGAGTGTAGATAGTACAAGGCCTTCACAAGCTGACATGCGATCTTTCTCACCTGAAAAAATTTCAAAGATTGTGAAACAAGTTTTTTTCAAGGAACAGTATGAAGTCTCAATTCAAACTACTGATATTCAGTTTTTAAAGAGCATCAAATCAAAATAAGAGAACAGGTTTATTGAGTGGTTTTTGAAAAAGCAATTCAACATTATTTTAACCAGTGAGAATAAATGTTAAATCTCTTCAGAATGAAATTAATATAACTTGGGTGTCGAACAAAATCTTTCATTGAGTGCTGAACCTTTCAGGCTGGCCTTGGATGGGTCAACCCTTTAACCCCTGAGAGTGACAAGCATCTAATTTCTCCCAACAGTATAACCCCTGTACCACACAGTAAGGTCATGAGAATAAAGGAAATGATCACCAACTGAATAATTGTATAGAAAACAGTATGGAGAATATGCATACTGATGTTAGGGTGTAAAGGGTTAATGTACCCTTTTATCCTTGTTAATGTACCCCTTCTGTCTGTGTTTGGAATGTGCTATGCATTATGACTCACCCCTTTATTATCTAAGTTCTCTTTATCAGATGTGGCACACACCTCTTACTTAGGGTTTTCTATCACTTAATTAATGCCACCCCCCCACCATTAATTAATATAAACTATTATTTTGCAACATGTTTTGCTGCCACCTTCAGGGTTGTTTTGGTTTATGGACAATTTATTTGTGTTTGATATTGCAAATTACTACAGCTTGATACATCATCATTTGAATAAATATCATGCATTCCTCAAGTGTTATGTGCATACAAACAAATCATGATGTGTGATGGGAAATAAAACTGTTTATACTCTGATACATAAACACTGAAGCTAGCCAGGTCAGTAATGGTGGAGCCAACATGAATCATCCCAAGTCCTGGCAGTGTACAAAAAAAAAATTTCCACCACTTTCAATAGAGACAACCAATGGAAAAAACACTCGTCACAAACCTGTTCCTCTGGAAGAGAACCATCATCTTCCAGTACTTGGAATAATTCCCCCTCAGCATACTCTGTTACAACACATACCTGGATGATTCAATAAAGATATTAAACATTTGTAATGGCATCAACTGCTTAAGTCTAAGTGATAATAAAAGCTCTAGTATAGACAAAGTTAAGGAAGAAGTATAGTCAAGTGAAAAAAACACTTTTATTACTGTCATTAAAAAGTATATAATGAGACTGTGTCACTGCCAGTGTTTTAAGATTCCAAAGAGTACCCAAACCTTTCAAAGATTGTCATTCAATGTGCATAAAATTCAATTAAGATGTCAACATTTTCAAAATTGCTTAATAGCCACTTACCTGTGACATTACAGACTTCAGCTCCCAATGTGATTACACTCAAACTATTTGGATCACATTAATTCAAACCAGAGCAAGAGATAAATGAAAATAAAGAGCCAGACAACCACAACTACAGCCATCTCTAAGATGTGTAATTTTCTTCCCAACATACCAGTTCAATTATAGAACATTGTGCAGGTTATGTTCCGGTCAACTTACTATGGAAGTATTCCAAATTAAAATCTAAGGACAGCTTTTGAAAGGTTAGTTTGCTCTCTGAAATCTCAAAATGTGGCAAAAAGTAAATTTTTTTAATTTAAGAAGCTGAATTCCTACACGCAATTTGATTGGTTCTTACTTATGATCTATTGGAGGACAGATGCATATATGTTGTCACCATCAACAGCATTGTACTTTTTTATCATTAAATTTTATCTTTTTTACCTTAAATTGATCCCACGTCACCATGGGTCTGTACAGTAATAGATCACTGATACAATACTGAACAGATGCATGTCAACATGGAAATTTATTTGTTAAATAGACAATTTTTAATGGTGGAGATAAAAACTATTTAGTTTCTCTAGACTTCTTCTGTACTGTACCTCTTTGGGTGTTTCAAAGGAGTCCAGTAACTTAATGATATTTTCATGTTCCAAGTTCCTCATAATGTCAATTTCTCTCTGTAAATTTTTCAGCTCTTTTTCTGACCTGCCAACTTTAGGAATGAATTTCAATGCAACAACCTAAAAAGTAAAATTCATAGAGCGTATTATAAAGAACTGAAACTCATGTACAAAGTTTCTATATTGAAGATTTATGAAAGGCAGTGGATTCTAACTCTTAACCCCTTCACCCCCATCAACAGCTCAATGCAAAATACAACTCCAGCAAAATGTTTGTGTTGCATCGTATTCCCGCTGCACCCTCTACTTCCAAGTATGTTCTGTTGAAAGAGCACTACATACAGGTACTAACACTCTCCATATGTAAACAGTGATTAAGCTGTCATATTCCTCAGTTTACTGTGCCATACATTTTCAGCTAAACATGGATTTAGTTTTTAATAACTGTTTTTAGTGATGCAATATATCAGGTTAGAAGAACTCCACGAAGAAAATCTAATTCCTGTGCAAAATGTAAGAATTTTGACAGTTTTCCCGCCGTCAATTCAAAACATAGAGCTCTTATTTCACAACCCTTACCTGACCACTGTATTTCTTGCGCCCTTTGTAAACTTTTCCAAAAGAGCCCTCTCCAATAAGCTCTAACACGTGGTAATTCTCCATTTTATGAGACTAAACACAACCCTCATTTACTCTCAAGCAATTTGTGTATTTCATGAATCCAATACTCCGCCATTTTGGTCATTATAAATCCCGGGCAAACTGGGAACGAGCTTTTCAGAGGTTAGGGAGGGGGTAGAGGTGGGGAGGACGGAACTTTATCATGTGACGACAGAAATAATGATAAGGATTCCCCCAAGATACTGAAGAAAAATAATTAACATGGACATTGTAAAAACGATCGGTTGATTTTCTCAAATTGAACTTTCTTCACAAGATCTATGGGGATACAAAGAGTCTACAATCAATCAACTTTCTGCTTGATATTAACGAGCTTATTTGAGCAACTTTCCAATGATTTTAATCTCTGGGCAAATTCAGATCTGCTAGAATTGAACATTGGTTCACAATGGCTCAGACCCCATGACCTTCCACATTAAAGATAAAGGCTTTAGATCCAAATTGTATCATTTTTTGAAAATGTTATGGCAAGCGTTACCTCTATTTTAACACACAACAAGGCAACACATCTCTGGAGCAGCCAATGCAAGGACAAAGGAAAGAAAGAAGCAAAGTTTTCCAAAATTATAACAAGTTTTAATAGCTGTTCATTTTAGTAACAATTTCAATGAATTATAATAGAAATTAAGACACACCAAATGTAATTTCCCTTTCCCTTTTCTACACATCAATATCCGAAATCCAAGAGAATTACAAGCACTCAGTGGAAAAAAGTGAACAATCTAGTGAAAAAGACTGAAAAAATTGGCTTAATAGTCAGCCAGTTTTTTGAAAAGGAGAACAAAGACCAGACAAAAAAGAGAGGTTGACTTCAAGCCAAGGGGAAAAAAAGGTGGTGGGAAAGAAGGATTGCACAGACTACACCTGCCTCTGACTGATATTAAATTCTTCTGTTCTTTCCCTTATGTACTTAAACCAGAACCCTGGCACAGGCCAGTGGAATCCCTCCCCTTTCAAACCTCTACCCTGAAAAGCATATCCTAGGATGTAGAGCACACCACCCCAGTGAAACTCATTGTAGAACTGGTAATGTTTTCTTGAGAACCTTAGGTGACAAGATCATTTCTTGCTTGAATTTAATTCACGTCTTTAATAGAGTAATAGGGTACAAATAAATATGAATACAAAACAAAAGGTTTAAAATGCAACATCTTAAAAGTTTCACAGGTATAGTAATTTTGATACAGTCAGTTTCCTTCATGAACATGTGAATACGAAAAAAAGTATAATTCAAGATGATGAGACCCAATGGCTTCCTGGGGAATGTGGGCACAGATAAATACTCAGTGATTCACTTCTCTCGTTACTCATGTAAAATCCTTTCTTTATGATAATCTCTTTCTTTCAGGAAAGCTTGGATAGCTTCCATCATTCACCAAATGCACCCAATGGTGGTTATCATGTACATCTGACCATAAAAGCTGTGAGGTCTCATTGTCCATTGTTAATGCTTTTTTTGGTGTCAACATTTTCACAATTGAGTGTATACAGTTTCAGTAAACTGAGTCATTTAAACAAAATATGATTGGTGCTAAAATAAGAAAAAATTAAAAAGATCAGTTTTTTTTGTACCACATAAAATCAGCCATTTACAGCAAACTAAGTGAAAAAGAATCTTTAAGTTATAGTCGTAGATGTTAAAAACATTTTCCATGGCGTTGAGGTGTACAAAGTTTTCCACCAATCAATTGGTACAAAGGCTCCTGTACAAACAAAATTCAAATGATTTGAATGAGTACCAGCATGAGACAACCACAAAGATAAATTAACATATGGATTAAAAAAAACAAACAAACAACAGTAATATGGTAACAAATGTGAAGCATTCATGCTATGTTTTGTGCAAGTAAGCTGCAGGAGGTCATTGGCTAGACTCCCATACTAGTCTTTTAAAAAGAAGTTATGTTGTAACTAGCTAATGAAGTACTATCTCTACAGTTTTTTTATATCTTTATTTTAACCCTTCAACTCCCAAGATCTGATTGCTAATTCTCCCCTCTAGTTGCTATATATTTTCCTTGCAAATCAGTTATGAGAATTTGGTGTTAGATCAACTTCCACCTCATATCTCAGTATTCGCATTACCTGTTTGGTGGATAATGTATGGATATCATTGGGAGAAGTTACATGATAATCACTTCTGGCAGTTCAAGGGTTAATTTCACATTGCAGCAATCTCATTGGTCCAGTTAAAATTTAAATGTTATGCATTGCTCTCTGATTGGATATCATTTGGTAATGCCAGGTTTGACGCTATGTTTACCTTACCATGGTTGAGTTGACTAGTAACGTCGAGGACTACGAGACCTGCTCCTTCCCCTTCCTCCCCACCTGTTGACAAAAAATAAAAGAGTATAAACTTGAGGATAAAATTGTAGAAGAAGTAAAAACTTCACAAAATTGCATTTCCAATGGCTACATTTACATCAAAGGAAGTACTCAAATCTGCCTTTGTGCAAAATTCACTGTATTTCAAAGCTATTTTCTAACCTTCCCTGGAAACCCAGATAAACTACCACTTCTAAACGAAAAAGTGCAAAAAGTGCCTGGGCTGTGTATTTTAACTCTTTAACTAGGATTCAGTCCTCGCAGTCCAATGGGTCATGTCTGCCAGAGCTAATCCCTGGTTTCTGTAGCATGAACACCCTAAATATAAATAATACAAAATATTGTGCTTGTAAACAAAAGTACACTTGAGATAAAAACATGCCTGTCTCCTTCAGGAGACCTTCCTCCTCTCACTCGCCGCGGTGGTGACCTGTCATACAAAATAAAAACAAAAGAACTTCAATGAAGGGTGCTGTAGTTATTATCCAGGGTTGTGACTTGCATCAAGTCTGACAGATTTTTTTGAACAACAGAGCCCTTTGCCTAGTGTGGTTAAAACATTCCACAGGTGTTAATTCAAAGTGGGGGTTTTCCAAAACCACATGGTACATGGAATTTCAACCCCAATCAATCTACATGGCAGAGACATAAAATTTTTCTGAAACAATTGCAATATATGTGATCCTAATACAAGCATAAATGTTTCAAAATTATTTCGACCAATAAAATGTTTGTAATACCATTTACCTTCGCAAATCAATATAGCAAAACTAAAGCTAAAATATTTTATCAATGACTGATGCACAGTTAACGAGACCATTTACAGATGAGACAATGTTTCTAAATTTGGATGACATAATCACAACTATAACTCTAAAACGAGATGCACAAAGACATGAAAGTACCCATCTTCAACAGAGCACCCTAGTAACTGACAGTTACATGTATATCAAACTTTCCTCTTTAATAACAATACATGTCTTTGTTGGTTCTGATGGGGAATTTTGTTCTTCTATTCAAATAATATCTCTTAGTGAATAATTTTCCTACTTCTCATTTCCTTTCTGTTTAACAATGTATTGAAATATCAAGGAGAATTTAGGTTCTTATCCCTACTGGAAATGAACAGGTTGACATATTTATCTACACAAGCAATAATACATTCTATACCCTTACAGCACAATTCCCTTGTCTTTGTTACAAGTTATAACTTCCTTTGATCCCACATAATTATTAACAAAACCCTTTTTATTCCAAAGTGTACACAAGCTACAACAATGACACTACCTATGGCTTCAAGATGAAGTCTGAAATGGTAATTTCACAAAGCTGCGTAAGGGAGAAATTGGCTGGCATGATTAAAAGGGTTTGAGTCACGCTCTTCCTTCTGGAGTCTTCAGGTGTGGTCACTGACAGCTTATAGTTGCCACCGATGATCGTGAGTGAGTGACACAACACAGCAAATTTTCTGACATTAGGAAGACTTAGCAACAGTTGCTTCTCCGATGTGATGACTCTCGTTTTAGCCAGTTGACTCACTCAGTCCCCTACTGAAGGCTGCAGTTGGTAGTGCAGTAAATGTAAAGTTCAGAGGCATACCAAAGATAGCAAACACTTCATCTTACTCACTCTAGATGACTACACCCTCAAGCAAGTGTGGTATTGTTACAGCTCTGTTGTTTACCACTCCATGGCCAATTTTCAAGACACTGAAGAATTTTCCCTTTAGTATCATATGGAATTCCATAACCAGAAAATAATGAATGCGTCGCTATAGCATGCCCCAGGAGACCAGCAGTTTTCCGAAGTTACAACTAAATATGTCAGCTCGGGTACTCCTTGAGTCTTGAAATGCAGCGATGACCAAATTAGTGTGCGAGAATTTAAAAAAAGGGTAGAGGAACACTTTTCAAGGTCTATGCCAGGAGTTGGAAGGATGCATGAAGGGATTACAATGACCATTAACTGATGGAAAACTGAGGGAGGTTGAAGTGAAAAGGAGGTGGGTGAAAAGTTGAAGAAAGGTTGTTGGTCCATGGCTTGGGAGAAGGGGCTGCTGGGGAGAATCCTTTTCGAAGGAAGCTGGGCTCAGAACCATATGAAAGTGGTCAAGTTGGGCGAGGTTATCATTGGGAGTGTAGCTAAGTAGTCCCTAAAGAA